TTGGTCAGCTAACCTTGGTCAGTTAATCTTATAAAGCAAGCTTATCATGCAGAACCTCCCTAACCATTGAGGAGTAGTCTTATCCTGCCCTTGCTTAACCCCAGGATGTATGTCTTGCAAGAATAATGTATAGCTGTGGAAAATTACTATGACTTAAGTGCTTTGAAAATGCTATATAAACCCTTGGCTCTGAGTGCTCGGGGTCCTTGGTGAAAACTGCTGTGTCAGGCAGACACTTGGACCCCAGCTAGCTGGAATAATAAAAAACCTCTTGTTTGTTGCATCGATCTGCCGTGGCCTTCGTCTCCTCACTGGGGGGAAGCGTAGACCAGAATAAGGCCGTTAGGTCTTACAGTGGCTGTGCTGTGCTAATTCTCCCACTGGTGTGCAAACAGGCCCTTATACGCATCCAGGTGGGGATTCTAGTTCAAGACTCCCATTTACCCAACACCCCTCATCACATTGTTGGGGGAGCGTGGTGTATGTCCTCTGTCCTTGTCCCCGCCGCGACAAAGAATTGGAGGGCAGAGACAGTAGCGAAGCAGAGTAAAAGTTTTATTTAAAGTAAGTGAAAGAGAGAAGTGCAGCAGGCAACCTCAGCAAGGAGAGGCGCCCCGAAGAGAGCGAAAGCTTAAGATTAAAAAGGCTACGCACTTAGCAAGTGCAGGCGACCTCAGAGAGAGGAGCGCCCAGAAAGGTTGGGGTTTCCCCCTTTAAAGGATTCTTTAGGAATGTGACTAAGGGCTGGGGTGCAGACTTGTTAAGTGGTCTTTGAATACTTAGAATTAACACAAGGAAGTTCCCACACTGATTTCTCCCTGGAATACCAGGGTCTGGGTCTGGGAGCAGATCAAACAGCTTCCTTCCCAGCCCCTGAGGTGGGATGAGCTGTTCTCCGTTTGCTAAAGAGCACGTTAAGAATCCTACATTTTTAACTTCCTGGGTATTAAAATACACTCTTTAAGATGGAATCTTTCCTGCCTTTTACTGTGTTGTTTACGCCTGGGGCTGCATGCTAAATTAGTTGCCTAGGTTACAGAACTACTTAATTAGGGACTGAAGGAGAAAAAAAACGGCATATAGGTAGGTAAAGGTAAAGATTAAGTAAACTGGGCCTGGAAAAACCTGATCAGGATCACTGACCAAAAAACTAAGTGGCACTGAGAAGTTTTGGAGTGTTGAGGGTTTATTTTACACCGGCGGGCTCAGATGGGAGTTATCTCCCAAGGTCTGAGCCCCGAACAAAGGCAAGGGGAGCGATATGTATCTTTCTGCTTTGTATCTGCAACATTACTACCTGCACAGCAAATGAGCAGCAGATGGGAGCCACCTGGGCCAGACTGCTGTCCTTGCAAGGCGTTCCCTGTCAGTTACACTGCCCTGACTGCAAGCATCCTGCCTTGCTTTACTGGGAGGCCCTCCCCCTACTCTGACTACACCCACGCTCCCTGTCTCACAAGCACTGGAGATCTGCACCAGGACAAGCCTCCGCCCTCCACGCCCTCCTTGCCAGGTCTCCGCTTTGGGAAAATCTTTGAACACAGTGAGGGGTTGAGCTCTGACTCCAGGACCAATGGCGAAGTGCAAGGGCGGTTACTGGGGTGTCAGTGTGAAGAACCCCATTTCCCCCAGGTAGACTTTTCATTTCACATTCTAGTTTGCATGTCCCTCACAGACAATTCCAAGATTAATTAAATTGCTTAAATTGATTTCAATGGCAGGGAGGTTCCTGTATCCAACCACGGCTCCACGGCCACTGCCCCCCACAACCTCACCCCCCCCTCCAGCCAAGGTCCTGGTTCCCGGATTCTCAGTTGCTTCAGCCTCACTGGCAGAACTTGTGTCCATCCCGCTGGAAAAAGCTTTTCACTTGAACTGTTTTTCACTGTGAGGGAGAAGCCATCTTTCCCAGCATCAGTGGTCCTCACAACTCTGCAACATTGTATCTTGAACAGTCTGAAATATACAGAAAGGCAGGATGCAGCCCTTTACGGAAAAAGGAGGAAAAGCTAGTGAACAAGGGACCTGCCAGCAGGGGGCGTGGCTGACCACGCCCAGCTTAAGGGCTGGGCCTCACCCGCCCTCGGTCATGCGCAGACCGACCCCGCGCACGCCCCGCCCCCTGGCCGCCCGCTTCTTCCTGCCGCGCGCGCGCAGATCCCCGTAGACCCGGAAACGCCAGGCGAGAGGTGGCGGAGGTCCCTGAAAGCGCAAGTCCCGCTGCCCTCCGTCCCCCAAAAGTGTTCCAGGGTACCTCCGGCCTGTTCCCCGCTTACCACCGTGATACCTCCGACGTCGCTGCGGGCACCCGCGCGCACCCCTCGCTGTTAACAGTCCCCGTGAGGCTGGGCCCCGCCCCTGGCCTCGCTTCCACGCGCCTTTCCCGTTGTTTTCCTGCCTGAATCCGTTACCCGGCGTCTCAGGCCTCGCGCGCCGGGTGACCCTCCGCCACGGGCTGTGCGGCTCCCGAAGCGTGGCGCCAGCCACCCAGCTCCAGGACGAGGCCCACCGCGCCCGCCGGTCCCCTGCTGTCCCCTCCCGCCGCCCCTAACCGCCTCCCCGCGGCCTCGGGCCGAGCCCTCTGCCCGCCAGGTCGCCCCTTCGAGGCGCCTCCTCCCCGGACCGCGGTGCTGGAGGGAGACACCGGGGCTCAAGCCCCGGATTCCGCCGACGGTGAACCTGCTCTCCCGGGAGGCCGCGCCCGGTGCCGCTGCGCCCCTGGGCTCTCGGGCGACGGCGCTGGGGAGAAGCCGGGCCGGAGCGGCGGGGACAGAAGCGGGACAAGTGCGGGGGCCGGGAGGCTGCGGGAGAGCCCGGGAAGGAGCAGGCGGCGGAGCCGGGGAGGCTTAGAGGCCAGCGGGGCCTCCAGGCGAAGGTGAGCCCCCGGGTAGGGAGGCCCTTGGGGGGCTGCGGGGAGGCGCTCGGGGCTGGAGTCCGGGGAGGGTGCGGGCTGGGAGCCGTGGCCGCAGGGCGGCTTGGTGCTGGGCCCGAGAGAACCGGTGCGGCCCGGAGGGCGGAGGAGGGAAGCAGAGCCGCCGGGTGTGCCGGAGAGGGGACGGGGGACGCCTGACCGGGCCGGAGGGCAGGGGAGTGACTGCGCAGGAGAGTGTAAGAGGGCGGGCGGAGAGCGGGCAGGAAGGCGGGAATGCGGGGAGGGTGGGGACCGTGAGGAAGGCCGGGGGGAAGGGGCAGCGGGAGGGGGACCAGTTGCAGTGGGCGGAGCAGGGGGGAGAGGAGGCACCAAAGGGAGAGACGGCCGGAGAGGGGAGGGCACCTGAGTGAGCAGCAACCCAGCGGAAAAGCACAAAATCAAAGAGAAAAAGAAATTGGGAGGTGGATATGCAAAATAAAAGATGGAAACACAACATTAGAGAGGCAGGGGTGGAGGCTGGCAGGGCAGTGGTGGTGAGGCTCTGGATCCTGATGATTGCTCAGTGATTCAGTTGTGATACATTGGTGGCTTTGAAAATACAACTAAAATTCGTTTCAGTGGTAGAGGTAACACTGAGAATTGCAAAGCTTCTAATAAGCCTGGGCAATTTATATTGTATGTCAGAGAATAGCTTACATTTGCGACTTCTTTTAGCCCGAGGGCAGTGACCTGACTTGGTCAGTGGTGGGTCACCCCCTTCCGTTTTCCTGGTGTGGGTTAGAGGTTGGGAAAGACAGTGTGGACGAAACGACTGTCACACTGTGCTGTTTTTAAGGGTACAGTAAAATGACTGCTTTGTTTTTTAGTTTCTTTATAATGGAATTTTATATATGTTCATATATATGTAGACACTTAACATTTAATTCATAATTTGGTAGTTTGAGAGAAATGTTCTTTGATTTTCTACTTATGATTCTCAAGCAAGTTTTGTTGGCCTTTAATAAACTCATGTCATTCTTTTATTAGTAGGATATATTCTAACATTTACTTTTGACATCAAAATGACTTAGACTTGAAAAACTTAAGACATCATTTTCTTTTTAAACTTGTTTGTGGTTTAAGTCAGGCCTGCAGGCTTTCTGCCCTGTATCTTCTGTCTTGGACGTGTTCCTTGGTGACCAGTTAATAAAGTTTTGACTGTTTGATTGGTAGTTGGTAGGGATGTCAGTGATGTTTTAAGAGTCAAAGACTAATTTAACCAGTTTTGTAGTACTCAGTTTTCTTCCCTTTTATGTGATTTCTTAGCATAGTGAGCTGTGACCTCAGAGTAGTTGTTCCCCTCTGGTCTCTCCCATCTTTTTTCTGCAGTGTTAAAGATGTGCTAGATTGACTTGGAAGCTCTGTGCAACAGAGCCCAACTATGTTTGTTGCAGCAATATTCTCAAAACAAATCAAACCAAAACAAAACCTCACCCATCTGTAAAGCTGAAATGAAAAGGAAACATGCTCAGCACTTATTTCTACAACTTACTTGTTCAGTGTTGTGCACATCTGTAGTCGCTTTTTCACAATTCTGCATTTTAAAAACATTTCAGAATAACTTTCTGGAATGGAATTAAGTGTTGGTATCAGGGTGAGAACCTGGATGTGTAATCCTGACTCCTTCCTGGATGTTACTTCGGTCGCAGCCACAAATAGTGGTATGTGCATCCGAAGCACACAGAGGACCCCCGCACACAAACACAGGCCTACTCTGCACTCTATTCTCCCATCTTTAAAAGCAAACATTGTCGCACACACTGCAGCAGTGGGGACTCTGGCTGCCCCACACCCCTCTTCAAGTCACAGGCCCGGCCTTGATCACACCCCATGGAGGCCTGACACCCCTCCCTGCAGCCACCCCCAGCCTCAGGAGAGAGGCTCAGCACCCTGGTTCTCACCGCTGCACACAGATGACCTATGTTAAGGCTGGTCCTGTCTCACTTCCTGGAAGAACCTCTGGTCGGGTGACACTATATAAAGATTTTCACGCTTGTATTCCAGGAAATAATTGTAAAATATTTTTAAAATACAGAATTACAAAAACATAGCTATACGTGTGCAAAATATTGAAAGAGTCAGTTGTAAGCTCTGAGCAGATTTCTTTTTAATTTCGTCTTTATTGATGCGTAGGTTTTTGGTACAGAGTGTGCGAGGGCTTCCCAGGAAGGCGGGATCTGAAGAGATGGCGGGGAACTCACTGGTTGGCCTAAGGAGGCTTCTGTCCGCGAGTCACTCCTGAGCAGTGGGCAGCAGGGGACTGTCCTTTCCACAATGGGATGTCCCCCATGTGGTTGTGGCAACGGAAGGGAATATGATGACTCTAAGCATTAAACGGCATGTTTTCTGCATTCAGGATTGGCTTCTAAGAAAGACTCATGTTCCCTGAGGCCAAAGTCTGGAAAAAGAGGAGGAGGACCGCAGAGAAGGAGCCGGGAATGGCTGTTCCTCAGGTAAAGTCCCTACCCTTTGGGTGACCTTCTGTGTCTCCTTCCTGAAGGGCCCTTCCTGGGTCTCCCTGAGCTCTGACCTTGACTGCGTGACCCCTGGTCACTGCACTCGCCCCTCAGCACCTCTCATCCCCACTTAGGTTCCATGTCAGCTGACCCAGTGACATGGGGCTTGTGCAGGGGCTCCTTGGGCATCGTCCTGGGCAGGGCTTCCCACTGTGTTCAGGGGATGGGGCGTCTGGGTGGATGGGCAGCAGGGACGCGTCCGGGGCTGCGCCTGGATGCACCGTCAGCTCTCTGTAGCCCGGATGAAAGAGGCTGCAGGGGGAAGCCACATACTAATGTTCATAAATATGTGGTAAGTTGTGGGAAAAGAGACCAAAAAGGGGCAATCTTTTCTGCCTGATTTTGAATATATTTGAAGCTGGACATGTGAGTCACTGGCCCTAAATCTTAATGATTAGGAAACACCATCAGAGACAGGGTGTGGGATTCTATCATGCATTTTAACCTATGGTGTCCACCTTTCCAGCACGTATGGCTCCTGTTTCATGTGCTTGGTAATGACCTGGCTGGGACTTCCGGTACTTAAGCACTTTGCACCGTACTCCGGGCAGGGTGCATCCTGGGCCGCTCCCCGGGCTTGAAGGAGAGCTTCCAGTCTCACCACCACGTGTGCTGTTCTGTGTGTGCCTTTCATATAGGGCACTCGTGTTGACTATTCCTGGTTCCTTCAGTGTTTATCTTCAGAGTTTGTCAGATGTCAACGTTTTTCCCCATTAACTGAGATGATTGTGTGTTTCTTTTCCCTTCCCTTCCTATTAATGGAGCGCATTAACATTGAGTTGTTTTGTATGTTGAATATTCCTAGCCGTACAGGAGTAATTCCACCTGTGGTGGTCTGTACTGGTTTGAATGTGCTGTTGAGTTTCATTTGCTCGTATGTTAAGTTTTTGCATCGATGTTCTTCAGGAATATCAGTCTCTACTTTTCTTCCTGTGTCTTTTTCTGGGTTTGGTATCAGATTCATGCGATTCCATAAAAGTGTTTCTGAAGATTTTTAGCAGGATTCGTATTTATTCTTCTGTAAGTATTTGGTAGGCTTCTGGCAAAGCCTTCTGGTCCTGGGTGTGTGTTGGACGTTTCTGATGACTGCGTGACTCACTCTAGTAACTGTTCACATTTTCTTTATTACTCGGTGATGCGGTCTGCGAGGTTGTATGTTTCTCTGAATGTTCCCGTATTTTCTAGGATATGTAATTTCTTGGCATATAATTGTTCATAGTACTTTCTTGTAGACCATTTTCCACATTTCTGGGACACCTGTTGCAGTGTCCCCCTTTCATTTCTGATTTTACTTGAGGGCTCATTCTCTCTCTCTCTCAGCCTAGCTAAATGTTTGTCAATTTCTAAATCTTTCAGAAAACCTGTTGTTGGTCTCTTGATTTTTAGGTTTTCCTATTCTCTGCTTCATTTCTCCCTGCTCTGATCTTACTCCTTCTGCTAAATTTTGGTGCTGTTTGTTATTTTTCTGATTTCTTGAGGTATAAAATCCTATTTCTGATTGGAGAGCACTCCTTTTCTGTAATGTAAGATTTACCAGTGCAGGCATCCTCCTCAGTGCCGCCGTCACTACGTCCCCCCAGTTTGCTGTGCTGTATTTCCATTTTTTGTCGTGATAGTTCTAAAAATCCATGTGACTTCTTGGACCTTTTCATTGTTTAAACATGAGGTGTATTCCGTATTTTGTGGAGTTGTCTGTTTTCCCTCTGCTATTTGTTTCTAGCTTCACTGTGGATAGAGAAGATACATACTATTACTTCAATCTTCTGAAATTTTTCGTTTGTTTTGTGTCACAACATGTGGCCTGTCCTGCAGAATGTCCCGCGTGCGCTTGCGTAGAAGGTGCCCTGCGGCTGCGGGGGGTGTCCTTCCCGGCTGTCGGGCCCGTCGGGCTGTGGAGCTGTGTGAGTCCTTGGGCTCCTCCTTGCCGGTCTGGCTGGTTGTTCTGTCCATGTTAACACTGGGGTGTTGGCCCTCATACTGTTTCTGCGATGCTGTTTCTTCGTCCCTTCCTTCCGTGTTTGCTTCATCGCTGTGAGAGTGCGGGCATGTTCGTAATGGCTGCATCTTCCTGGGAATGGTTCCTCTTGCCATTCTACTGTCCTTTGTCTCTTGTGACATTTCCTGTCTGGCCTCTTTCCTGTGCTCTGATATGGCTGCTCCTGCTGTCTGGAGCATCCTGGTGGCATGGAGTATCTTTCCCTCTTTCCTTTTGAGCCTCTTCCTGTCCTGAGAGTCGTGCATCTGTAGTTTGCCTGGACAGGGGTGAATGGCAGGAGCCCTGGGCAGTGCCCTTTTCTCCACCATCATTTCAGAAGAAAAACATCCAGTGTTGTAGAGATCATGGCGTTTGTTAAAATTTCTAGTGTAATAACAGTTTTTTCCTCAGTATCCTTTCTTCATGATTTTTCAATTATCCAATAGTTTCTAGTGTTCAATTTTTTTAATTTTTTAATTTTATTTTTTGATTTTGGTATCATTAATGTACAATTACATGCTAGGTTCCCCCCTTCACCAAGTCCCCCGCACAACCCCCATTGTCCATCAGCGTAGTAAGATGCTGTAGAATCACTGCTTGTCTTCTCTGTGTTGCACAGCCTTCCCTGTGCCTCCCCCCACATTATACATGCTAATCGTAATGCCCCCTTCCTTTCCACCACCAGCCTTGTCCCTCCCTTCCTATCCATCCTTCCCAGTCCCTTTACCTCTGGTTTTGTCCATTCTTGAGTTCCGTGATTCTGCTGCTGTTTTGTTCCTTCAGTTTTTTCTTTGTTCTTATATTCCACATATGAGTGAAATCATTTGATACTTGTCTTTTTTCGCCTGGCTTATTTCACTGAGCATAATACCCTCTAGCTCCATCCATGTTGTTGCAAATGGTAGGATTTGTTTTCTTCTTGTGGCTAAATAATACTCCATTGTGTATATGTGCCACCTCTTCTTTATCCATTCATCTACTGTTGGACACTTAGGTTGCTTCCATTTCTTGGCTATTGTAAATAGTGCTGCAATAAACATGGGGGCACATCTGTCTTTTTCAAACTGGGCTGCTGCATTCTTAGGGTAAATCCCTAGAAGTGGAATTCCTGGGTCAAACAGTGTTTCTATTTTGAGCTCTTTGAGGAACCTCCCGTACTGCTTTCCACAATGGTTG